GATGTCTGACGTCATAGGGTCAAAAACCGCTCGTATGACCGCTGACGCGACCTCCCAAAATAACTGGTCAGATCTTCATGTAGTGTAGGCCATCGAAAGTACAAAAAAAAAAATGAAACGAAATATAGATTTGTATTTTAATCAGATTGGCGGGAATGGAACTTCTTTTTCACAAAGGACCGACTCTCAAATGCATCAACAATACGATTTGCTTTCAAAACATCTCGGATGGTTACGACGTTCACGTTAGAAACCCTACCAATCAAAACACAAACCGGGTTTTAACAATTTATTTAGAAACATTACTATAGCGAAAATACTTTTCTCATATAATACATTGTAATATGACATTATGGACAATTTCATTTAATTTAGTTATTGACATATCAATGCTATTATTATAATAAAATAGAAAATGGGTAAAAACATAAAAATAACAGGTTCTTGGATATCAGAATGCAATTTTAAAACACGGTGTTAGAATTTGCACGTGAGAAGAGAGGGCGGGTCATCTTCTCCCTTTGTCATGATCAAAACAAGTTTAAAACAGGAGGTTCAGCAGTTTGGTATCATCAGTGCGGGTAGAAAAAACCTAGGGGAAAAGTCCGCTTACTTTATGTGGAAAAGCGAAGTTCTCGCAGTAAAAAAACACCTAGCTGCTGGACCCGTGGATTATTTAGATATTAAAACTGTTTGTGCGATGGTTTGCAGTCCATTAAAGTTTTCCTTGTTGCGGATGTCTCTTCCCAGATAACAGTTACCTGAAAATGGAAAAGTAAAACTAGCAGCAACACAGAACAGATCAATTTTTATATAAGAATAATACATGGCATAAAACGTTTAAACATAATTATAATTTATTCAGCAGGCTGACCCACCATAATGCCACTGGCATCTACCCAGAAACAAGCCTTTGTACGGCCTCGTTTCAAGGGAATCTATAATAATTTTATGGTTATTGTTAAGAATCATTTATCTGTGAATAGTTATTATGTATGTTCACACCGTTAGTATACCTATATAAACATACATAGACAACAAAGGTTAATAACATTAATATGATTAATTTGACATATTATGCCAAAGAATATCATTCTGTCTACATTTAGCCTGTAATAAATATATAATTAGCCATAACTTATCTGTGATTGGCACGAATGCCCCTGAGCATATTTGTCAAATTTGCCTATTCTAATTAATTTCATAATCTTCAGTAACTGATTACTTAATCTACAGTGTTAATTAAAATACAACAATATCTTATACTTAAAGATGCATTATGTAATAGCTAAATCTGTCTAAATCATTAATTAGACATTTATTCACATGACAACCCCATAATCAACGCTTAGACCATCGGATACTTTTGATTTTCAAAGGGTTTAAACACGATGGATAAATCGAGACTTTGTTTATTATCGTAACAATGGTAGCAATGACAATCGAGAGTACACTATTCTTCTAACGGAAATAACTCCGCTCAGAATGAAGTAATGTGGCTGTAATTTTCAACATATTCCTTTTTTATTATCTAGTATCTAGTATAGCGAGAACTGTCAGCTATTTATCTTAATCTTACATAATCCATCTTTAAATCTGCACACAGTTTGTTTCTGCTCTCTATGTGGCGTTTCTAAACTGTGATCGGAATGTAGTGGATCTTAAACCACCCCAGAACATTGCTTTTGAATATGCCTAACGGCAATCTGAATAAAATACAGATCTATAGTTCCTTTCTTTTTTATACTTTCGACGGCCTATACTACATGAAGATCTGGCCGGTTGTAGTGAAAGTTCGCGTCAGAGGTCGTACGAGCGGCTTTTGACCTATGAGGTCAGACATTGATTAATCAATGATCTTTTATGTTTTTAGTGGTTTACCCACAGTTCCGTGCATCGAACGCCAAGAAGTCGCCTTAACAGATGGTTTAATTGGCTAATCCCTTACGCTATCCCGAGCGCAGGTTATAAAACAACTCTTCCAGATCCTAGTGTAGTACAGACAAATAACGGTGGCGTGCATAGACTGGTCATGTCTGTGCCAATTCCTTGATCCACCCCCCCCTTCGACTAAAGTATAAAGATCAAGTATAACATAAAAAGCCCCAAGACTCAAATAAGCAGGTAAAAAAAACGGGGGCGAGTGTATTTGAATTGTCGTTTCAATATATCATAATTTAGAGATACCGTGACGTTTTAGGCACGTAACAGTTTTGTACTTCGAACTTTGGTAATGCTGTAGGCAGTCAAGGTACTTTATCATTTTCACACCATTAATGTTAGAACTACTTTGAATCGGGTTTAAGTTATTGTTCGTTTACAAATTAAGATACATATTGTTTCAACTGTTGTCACTAGAGAATGTTAACTTCTGTTGTTTATAATAGGTTCCACCTGTCGTGCGATGCGTTATGATAGGATTGTCTTTATTGAGTCCACGATCTGCTACGTGCAGATGCTTTCGGATACGTTTCGATACGATCAACAAGATAGTTACGACTGACCTCAATATATGACAGTGGTTGCCAACGGCGCACTTTGGAACACATAAAAAAATAGCGGCACACCTGGCTAAATATATATGAAAAAAATTTGAATTTTGCAAAATAAAATGATGATTGGTAGAATTTAAATCTATTCCGGACAGTATCACTCCTTACTGTACCAGACTGCAAGATATTTCAGTGAGAAATTAAAACGCAAAATGGTATTAATAACAGACTCTATAACGGTTTAAAGTTAACCCTTAAAACATTCTACAATCTGGTTCCTGATTTTGTGGGATTCAATTTAACAGATTAAAAAACAATTTAAAGGAGCTAAATCTTGGCATCTAGAAATAGACACAAATAGGTCGCAAAGCATATGATAATGTAATATAAATGTATATAAACTGATTTACATTCAATCGTTCCGGTTTTTACTTTAATTTCTAATCATTATATGTTCGTCGAAATACGCGAAGAGTCCGAATTGTATTGCAGTCTTTGACGTTTGGATATTCCAGCCTATACCGTTAGTATTCTCTTGTGGGATATGTATAGTCTCGTTCATCGAGTCGCTTCATTACAAATGGCGCTCGAAAGTGTATTGTTTTAAATATAGGATATCACGAGCCCTTCTTTTCACGGTAAGATAACAACATCAATGTTAATTTAAATTGGCCAATAAGTCGTATTTGCAATGCCGAAGACTGTGGATGATAATGAGTTAGAGACTTGCCTCCCTTATGTTTGTATAAAGCTGTAAAAAATGTCAAAAGCATTACAAATATTAATCACTATAGAATGCAACCCAACTGCCCCACAACCAAATTATACATAGGACGTACACTGCATGAATACATGTAAATGAATGGCAAAGCCCTTTCTAAGGACGTAAGATTTTTATCTCCATAAACATAATGCCTATAGCTATACTAAAGCGGTATAAAAAAAAAATCGACCACGTGTTGAAAGAAAAATAGGATGTTAAACACATTTTTTAAAAAAATCAGGAAACATTATGGGATATAATAATTTGGCCATCATAATGAATAGCTAGAAATTAATGTCATGATATGGTATATAAATCATAAAACGTCACGATACAGGAACCGTGGTTTATAAATTGATCCATTCGCTTGATTGATCTTGTCTACGACACGATGTTCTCTTGAACAATTAAAGACATTGGTAATCAAATGATGATGATGTCATAGATACGTCACGACATAGTAACTTCCTTGATCATTGATCTATAAGCCTTCTAGTATCCATATTACTGAAGACGCCAGAGTACTATTATCTCTTCAAGAAAACTTGGTTTCGTGTATTTACTTAAAGAGGCGTAACCACTCTTACTGAGAAAATAAATTAATTTTAAGAAATTAAAGCCAAGCACGGAAGGCAGTCCCACGTTAATTCTTGTATCGACTGATAAAAAAAATCCGTGATATCCGACCTTTAATTTAAAATCTACAATCAATCAAGCAAGAAAATATCATTTAAAGTTGGTAAACATAATATGATTTATTTACTGATGTATTATAAATCATTTTTTAAAATAACGCCCAATAACTGACTAAATCACAATACACAGAATTCTTGTATACTCCACTATAATATCAAAATCTGATCAATAAAAAAAAGCCTGAATAATCTCGGTATCCTTGGGGTATAGGGGAAACGTGCATAAAATATACTATGCCATTGTTTTGATTTGATACCATACAATCCATCATGTGGGAGAAGAGACCTCTACAAGATGTTTTTGCTAAATAAATTAAACGTTTCTCCACAATCGATCATGTAAGAGAAAAGCTTGCCTTTGTCAAGCAGTGCCTATTCGTACTATGAACGTATTACGTCAGTTTACTACAGATAGCGTAGGTGGTAAACTATGCTATAATAACAAACAAACAACAAATTCCGTTAAACTATCAATGTTTGTGGATTTACTAAGATGTTTGATATATTTTAAGATTGTTTCCGATGGCTATATGTGTATTATTTATCATGATATCTCTAGCTGTGGACATCAATGCTCAAAGTATTGTACAGTTTTTGCGTCGTCTTGGTGAGAGATTATGATATTTTGTGGAAAATTAAAATTCCCTGCTCCATGCGGACAGTGTGCTATATATAAGGGAGAAATTTTGCTCGGACACTCGCGTTTCCGTCTGCATTTTATCCGAACGGTCTAGCCGAACAACTAGGAACTGTTCCTTGCGCCGCTTTTAGCCACCTACTCCTACAGGGAACTAAGCCACGGACATGTCAACCAATGGGCCTCGTTTTATATCCCACCCGAACGACTTTTCCTTGCGTTGCGACCCCCACCCACACCCACCCTCTCACCGCCATTTCCCATTGGATCTGAATTATGGAAGACGCCCTTTGATTTGATATATTACAAATATAGTAGCATTTCACAAGGTAACTTTCCATATAAACGATACGTGACATCAGGTGTTCTCTAAAGATTAACTAAAATTTAATATTTTGATTTATCTTTTTCAGAATTAAATTATGTTTATGACCCACCCAATGAAATTGAATTATTAATGGTAATTGATAATGAAGCTTATTCCAGGTAAGCATCTTTCTATTGTACATCTAATGAAAACGGGCATACGCTATACAGTGTGCTATGAGGGAAATTTTGCCCGGGCAGCGGCACTACGGTCTACTCTTATATCAAATTCCACCTGCCTAGGGATATTTTACGAGCACACCAATGTGTACAAGGGACCTCAGTTTTACGTCCCATCCGAACGACTATACGTTATCCCTTTTCAGTTCCTCGGTCCTGCACCACTAACAAGGATGAACGCACACCGGAAAATCCCGATGAACTTTTTCGACCAACGCAGGGATCGAACGTGAGACCTCTAGCCACCGTGGCTCCCATGTTCATTCAAATTAAACCAGTGCTGTTGAAAAATTATAGCACACCGTTGATATCATAAAATGCACTATTAAAATGGACCCTTAGTAGACTGAACTATATTTGGTAAAATAAAACAAATATTGTTTTTTTTATTCAGATGGTATCAAAGAGAAGGTGGTGATCATAGCGATGGTAGACAGATGAGAACACAGCAAGCTATAACCAAATACGTCACATCTGTTGTGCATGGGGTAAGTCTATCCAATCAAACTGGGCCCCAAGATCAAACACCTGCTACTGCATAAAACAATGAACATGGTCTGCCCACAAACAATAACTCTATGTTCCCTGTATATACAGAACAAGGTCTTCCTTAGATCCAGGTGGTCGTGGTATCGACTCCAGCCATTTCCGGGCTTTCTGGTTTCTCCCTATTGCTAAACACAAATGTGAGCAAAGGTAGAATTGAAATAAATACATATTGCATATTGAATGAAATGGGGTTTAAAGTCCTAGTTGTCTGCACTAACACGGGCTTATAGAGACGGGTATACACCATACAGCGTGCTACGAGGTAATTTTGCATGTACAGCAACTGAAACGAATGCATAGTTTGTGGAGTGGACGTGAAACCTAACTGCCTCTCCCACTCTCCGTGTATCTAACTTTTAAATGAAATGTTTTTTTTTTCAGATGAACAGTATATTTAAAACATTAGAATCACAAGATCTGAGAGTCCATATTTCATTGGTTGATATACTCATCATACAGGTATTTATATATACCTACTTTCAAATGTACAGTGTCAAGTTTAATTTGTTAAGATTGATTCATGTTTAATATAAAATTACATATCAAAATATCAAAAAGATTTTGTTCTTGGTTAAAACGGATGTCTATCCAGATTTTAAAACTGGTAAGGAATTAACAGTTTGTTTTAGGTGAATTTAAAGTGTTGAATCCGGTTGATCTGATTATTGTTAATATGATTAAAGATCACATACAAAATTTGGGTTATTTTTTTTTGACTTAAAGGAGCTAAATCGCTAACATTTGGGACCTAGAAATTGACAAAAGTGGGTCGCAACGCATATAATAATGTAATATGAATGTATATAAACTGATTTGCATTCAATAGTTTCGGTTTTTACTCCAATTTCAAATCAGTTTTGTTCGGCGAAATAAGCCAGCAGTCTCAAGCGAGTGCAAATTTCTAGTGTCTGGTTATTCCAGTCTACATACGCCGTTTGATTTGGTGCAATGTGTCTAGCCTCGTCCCTCGAGTCTCTTGATACAACTGGGGCTGAAGCGCATTATGGTACACGATTCGTGTACCAATGGTAAAATGTTTATTTTGTCTTAAATATTGGTTATCAAAAGCCCATCTTTTTCCGTAAGATCACAACATGAATGTTGATTTAATTTGGCAAATAAATCGTGTTTTCAATGTTGAAGATTTTGGATGATACTGAGTTAGAGACTTAGCTACTTTAACTTGTTGACAGTAGAGATCAAAATCAGATACATCTCAACACCAACTTTACCTGTGGATCTACTTAAATACGAACAAATGTCCACCTCACGTATAAAATAACCATATTAAACTTAATTAAATCGACGCTTTTATTTTTTACCGAACTTATTATAAATTAAATGCTGATTAAGATTTTTGGATACAGGAAACCTGGTACACTTTTCCAAACTAAATTTATTTCAGACGGAAGAAGGGGGCAAGTGGCTATCCAGATTATCCAAAGCGGGTTTTCCCAGGAATATAGTAAAGGCTACTAAAGCTTTGAAAGCTTTCAACGACTGGGTATGGAAACACAAAAGCGTGTTACCAGCACATGACCACGCCATGTTATTAACCGGGTAAGTACGTCATATCCTGTTATTGATTATTAAATCATTGTCATAGATTGTTATATATCAAGGTCCACCATGGTGGTATAGGTTAGAACTCAGGGTGGTTCCGTGTATATGCTTGTGAACCGAATCGACTGACGAAAGTGGTTATCAACGTGGAGAATACAGACGTCCATGTACTTATAATATACCTCATTGGCAGCTAAAACCCAAAATACCCCTCCCATCAAATAACGACAACAAAGATAATTACGTGTTATTGTCAAAAGAAAAAAACAAAAAAAAAAACCAACAAAAAAACCAAAGCTAAACAGTCTAGTGTATTGACGAGACTCCAGCACCATTTAATTCGACCAGTCTTAAATGTCTCTGTAATTCTAAAAACATATTATAAATACATGTAGATAACAGATAACTATGTGGATTTGGACATTATTTGCTGTAACTAATACTTATGTTAGTTAATGGTTTCCTTTTTTTTCCAGGTTTGATCTACAATCCAAACATGAAACGCCTGGTCGCTTAACTACAGGTAAGTTTAAACCCATGCTTCTCATATTATACCAAAAAACCTTCCAGAGTATATCTAATAAACTGTTCAAGATATCTTTATTAAACTGTATCCACACCTGAACCTATTGTAGTATTTCTGCTTTTTGCCGAATGAGAATTCCACGGATTTAATAATATTTGTTTCCGTGGATACAAGTTTAACTATTTCACTAAGTTTTTTACGCAGCGGACGTTGGTGGCTCAGTATTCTTGTTTTCCTTTATTTACGAATATTAATTAGAGCTCAGTTCTAAATTCCTTTAATTTGTGTTTTCAGGACATGCTTATCTAGGAACTATGTGTAGAGAATCATCAGTATCTGTTGTGGAGAATCAGTTTAATTTTGAAGATGTAGAGGCTGCTAGTCATGAACTTGGACATAGGTTAGTGAGCAATATAGAAGTACATTAGTGTTCTGAACTCTTCGCGTGCACCTCTGAACGACCACGGTGCCTATGGGCACTATCCAGGTGTTGACCAAGAAAGTTCCTCGGGATTGTTCTGCGTTGTTTCCCGATTAGTTGTACTCCCATCCTCGTTAACCCAGGTGGTGAAGAAAAGTTCACTGAATTTGCCAACTCATCAAATTATGGACGTGAACTATTAAATAAAGGTTATCTTGTCCGTTATTTAGTGACGAAACTAAGTTTACGCGACAGTGCAATTGGAGAATTTTTTTCTGACAGTGGCGTTTCTGTCTTCCAAAATGTGTTAGGCGCACTACCTATTTCCACATTTTTACGGGAACTGGACTTGGACAAAATAACCCCTTGAGCATTGGAAACAAAGATTGAGTTCCAGTATCATCACTAAAGTGTTACACCTGACAGGTGCTAAACAATGAAAATGATAAACATACCTTATATAAGAATAAACGACGGTTATTTATGTGTGAATTAATAACTTGTATATGTTTCCAACTATTTTACAGTTTAGGCAGTGAACATGATGGAGAAGGCAATGCCTGTACAGACAAAGATGGCTACCTAATGGCGCCAATTATAAAGGTTAACGCCACCTATCGGTGGTTTTTCTCATCATGTTCTGTTAATTATATCCAGGAATTAATAGATCAAGTAGCCAGGTAGGTTTAAATAATCTACTATTGTGATAATTTGTGAAATTACAAAGGCAAGCAGGACGTTGATAAACTACACATTAAAAGAAATGGTACAGAATACAGTCCAAATACTATTAAAATCGACCAGTCCTAACATGATAATAATAATATTCCGTTTTCCTTGAACATGCTTTGTTTATATTTCAGTGAAGGAAAAAACTGTTTATATCAGAAAAATAATGCAGGTCACATGCCAATACAGCCAAATGCTGACGTTCAGTTAGGAGAATTGCTAACTCCTGATCAACAATGTATTTTAATAGAGGGACCTGGGTCATTCCTGTGTAGGGTAAGTTCCATTTCTATAGAAATAAATATAGAATTAAACTACATAGAAACACAGAATTAAACTACATAGGAATACAGAATTAAACTACTTAGAATATAAAATTAAATACACGTTAAGCAATTATAAAGGAGTTTGACAAGTTAAAATATTGCATTTGTTTTGCGTACGTTTTTCCCTCATATTCACCATTCATTAAATCCGAAAAAAATTGCCCCGCTTATATTTGTGAGAGAACTGTTTTATTATAAACATTCTTTTTTTTATATTATTTTTTAGGATTTCTATGGAACAAACGATTATCCTACGTTATGCAGGAATATGTGGTGTCTTAATGTGACGTCACAAACACAGAATAAACAGACGTGTAATACGTTTTTAGGTTCAGATGGATTTGTATGTGGAAATCAAAAGGTACGGTGGTTGCATCTAAAGGAGAACGCAGGCAAGCGTCAAATGTTTTTGTCTGATTGCTTTAAAGTTAGCTTTAAAGGAGAACTCAGGCCATTGTCAATTGTATTTCATTCACAATCTGATTAAAATACAGATCTATATTTCGTTTCGTTTTTGTATACTTTCGGTGGCCTACACTAGTGTAGTACAGACAAATAAAACGAAATTTTAAACTATAAAAAAACGAAACGAAATAGGATCGGTATTTTAATCAGATTGATTTCATTCATTATCCAATATAATAATAGTTTCAAAATTGCAAACCCCAAAATATAAATCTCTTTGCCCGCAATTAGCAAATTGAGGTTCTGACGTCATCAGAGTAACTGTCAGTGCACAATAAGAAAGTCTTTGACTCGAATAGTATATTACGCAGCTCTGTGTTTAACAACATTGATTTAACGTCACAACAACCGTTTTTATTTTCCGGGGATTGTGTAGCCGTTTGGTCTAAAGCGTGCCCTTACTTGACCTGCTTAGCGTCGTGATTTGGGTTAGGATTCGTCTATGTAATACAGACCAAGATACAGATGACATGGCATGATTGATTAGACTTTAAATCGGTCTTCTTGACACTTTATTACTTTGCTACTGAATGAACACTAGTTCGATCTGTTATCGCTGTACATTTATTCATATAAACAAACAAATTGGTATAAGATTTTGAAGCATTATTTTTGTTTTCTAGAGATGTGTACAGGGAGAATGTGTGGCAGACAGCAGCGCACCCGATGTTTTAGGTAAAGCGATTTTCTCAAATAGTGTAGTTTTTCGGCAGTTTATATCTTTTTCTATTTTAATATCAAAAACATAGTGTTTTAATATATAAAAAATTCTACCGACTAATAAATAGAATAGTTCTTGCTTTTATGGGCATACTAAAGGAACTTAAACCCAGAACTGACCCTTGAGGGACACCAAATCATAGCATAATCGTATTCATAATTCAGTTGATATTGGGTACTCCCGCCCATGATATTTTGAAAACCATCTCCAATGCCAACATTTGTAAATTTCAGATTACTGCCCCCAAGGTGACGAACAAGGTATTGTCTGGAAGAACTTGACCTGTGCGGATATAATTGAACTTACTCCAGAACAATGTTACGATCCTGTAACACAGAAGAAATGTTGTGCTTCTTGTGATAAAATTGATACCGGTGATTTACGTAAGTGATTTACGGTGATGACTGTTACCACCATCCTCTAATTCTATTACGCACAATTCATTTTTGGACAAGGAAAAAGGGCGCTGACTGGCTAATCTGGAAGTCTTGGTTCTCTGCTTGGGTTGGCCGTGAAAAGATCTTTGTTATTTTCTAGCTTGGTTCCCTTATCAGTGTCATGGAATAGTGTTCGGGTGGAACAAAATATCGAGGCCCCGTGCGATCGTTGGCGTGCACGTGAAAGTGCCCTTGACAGTTGGAATTCAAAATATGAGTAGACCATCGCGACGTTCCGGGGTAAATTTCAAGGAACACTACATGGCGTAGCTCATATGCACGTCTTCTTCAGCAGAAAAGTAGAACTTTTGTAGCACTTTGGTCCTTAAGACAATATTGGTTCTTTGAAAAATTGTTGCTTCACTCTGTCTAGACGAAATAAGGTAATGTTTCCTCCTCTGGTCTTGTGAAATAAAGAGGTTTATTCCATATTTGGGATGGAAATGAACGTCAAGGCTATCTAAGACGTGCAGAAATTAGGGGTGTGGTCGGAGCTCACCCATATATTCTAAGCAGCTAATATTATTGAGAACGAGGAACCTTTAAAGCTATTACGATCACGAAGAAAGCAAACACAACAAGGAAAGAAGTCCGATAGTACTACACTTTTCGATCCCATTTCATTTTATTTCTTTTCAAATCTTACCAGGTGTTATATAATTTAGATTTGTTTTACTTGTAGAATGTCCGTATGGTGATAAGAGCTCGTGGTGCAGAACTCATCTCGAACTACCAGTCGGCTGTTATAATAATGAAGAATTGTGCTGTGGAACCTGTGCCAAATTAAAACAAACAGCAAAACCTGGTAACTAACTACAAACATAATTCTAAAGTTATATCATCACATCGAACATAACTAGGTCATATTATTAACGTGAAATAGCTTTATTTGACGACCGCTTCCATATTTCCAACAATTCGTTCTGCCCCCAAAAATTGTTTTTATATAGAAATATGAAGTTGGTAATGACCAGGAAAAGTAGCACACACACACGTGTTGTTGTACTCCTTGTCTAGTGACGACCGTCATTAATTTATGCTTTTATCTAGAATAATATATTAGTATTTAAAATGTAACTTGCCTGAAATATCTCGCAAGATAATATATTGTTTTTAGCAACAAATATATATATTTTTCTTTAATATTACAGCTAGGAAATATAGCTTTAAAGCCATTAGAGCTCCTGTCGAATTAGAAGATTTTTTTTTTATTTAACTGAGATTTTATTTCTTAATGGTTGAAGTCTTTTGGTTCCAATATTCAAGTTTCCCCATTTTTATAATTTGTAGAATGTCCCTATGGTGATCGAAGTACATGGTGTAATACGACGTTACAAGTCCCTATGGGATGTTATGATAATGAACAGTTATGTTGTGAAACCTGTAAAAAACATAAAATACAATCCAAACCAGGTTAGTGACTTTACTTTTTTCTACATGGATATTAATATCTCGTCATTTTCAGTGTTCGTCTATTTAACCACGCAACAGGTATCAGGTTATATCTGTAAAACCACTCAGGAGCCACGGTGGCTAAGTGAATAAGGCTGGAGGTCGAAGGTTCGCTCCCGTTGTCGGCTGAGAAAGTTCGGGATTTTCCGGCGTGGTTTCCACTTGTCAGTGGTGCAGGGCGAGGGTCCTGACAAGGACAGCTGTCTAGTCGTTCGGATGGGACGAAATACCGAGGTCCCGTGTACGCATTCTCGTGCAGGTAAAAGATCTCTTGGCACTTGGAATTCGATATAAGAGTAGGCCATAGCAAAATTTCCATAATAGCACACTGTATGGCGTATGCCCGTCTTAATTAGCTCAGACGGAGTAGAACAGTAGGACGTTACATTTAAACCCCATTTCTTTTCATTTCTGTAACCACTTGGTGACATGTTGTATATTTGACACACAGAGAACTATCTACCTTGATAATATGTCTGCCCTGAATGATCGCCATATTGAAAGATTAGTGTACGAGTTTGTTATTCGTTTTTAATCCGTTTTCATACCACATTAAAAAATTTCAATTTCATTAAATATGATAATGGAAGCAAAATAAATAATTCTTAAAATTCATGAAGTATGATTGATCTTTTCGACTTAAATCCTCGATGTAGGAATTAATATGTGGGTTGACCAGCTTCGTGCCTGTTCGTGCTTCGCATGTCTGAATTCCAGTCACCCAACTCCAGTCACCCAACTGTAATGGACATAGCAATAGCGAATAATAATAAAAAAAAAATATTTCGATGTTTACATAAAAAAGCGACCGAAACATCGAAATATTTTTTATTTGCCATTGCTATGTCCATTATGTATATAGAATGTCCATTATATATGTATTATAGAATGTCCATTATGTATTATAGAATGTCCATTATGTATTATAGAATGTCCATATGGTGATAAAAGTTCTTGGTGTTCTACTAAATTAACAGTACCTTACGATTGTTATAAAAACAGTGAGCTATGCTGCAATACCTGTTCACAACATTATAAACCACAAAATAGAGGTAAGTCAAAGTTCAAATATTAATTTATAGAATTCCTTATTCCACTATTAGTAGCGTGCAGAGGTAGAGGGAGGGGCAGTGTGAGTGACCGCTCGGGCATCCATTCCTTGGGGATTCAATCAGAGAATGAAATTAAATTAAGGTATTTGATATGTGAAAGTTACTGTCTTCCTTTCTCACATTTCTGAATACTAGGCAATATACTTGAGTATAGGGGTCATCCCATCCAGTTAAGACGTAGAATCCAATGACCAATGACATCGATAACTTTATCTGTAGACATTCACTGCAATTCTACAGCTTTATCAAATATGTTTTGCAGGTTGTGAATATGGAGATAAAAGCACGTGGTGTGCGAAAGAAATGAAAGCACCGTCTGGCTGTTATTTAAATTCCGAACTATGTTGTGGAACCTGCTCTCAGTATTATAATTCTTCCGACGTCGGTAAGTCATTTCTTTCAAATCACATTCACATCGTAAATATGTTTTGCTTCTTACATTAAAGTCTGTTATTACGTCATTTTTCTTCAGGGGGTCACGGTGGCTAACTGGGTAAGACGCTGGCTCGCTAGCCTGAAGGTCTGGTGTTCAATCCTTGCATTGGCCGAGAAAGTTCATCCAGGTTTTCCGGCGTGGTTCCCCCTTGTCAGTGATGTAGGACGGAGGGCCTGACAAGGACAGCTGTCTAGTCATTCGGATGGGACGAAAAACCGAGGTCCCGTTTACTCATTGGCATGCACATAAACGATCCCTTGACAGTTGGAATTCGATAAAAGAATAGGCCGTAGTGTCGCTGTCCAGGCAAAATTTCCCCTCATAGCACACTTTATGACGTATGCCCGTCTTCATTAGCCCAGTTCGGAGCAGAACAGCAGGAAGTTAGACCCCATTTAATCTCATCTCTTATTTTTCATCAGATGTTGATTGTGTCATTTCCATCCATTTTTAAAGTTTTGCTCTCCTGGCACTCTGTTGGCTCAATGAGCTCCCTAACCAGGAGGTTCATAGTTCACCAACATGGTTTCCCCTTACCAGTGATGCAGGACGGAAGGCCTGACAAATAACAATGTCTAGTCGTTCGAGTAGTACGAAAACCGAGGTAGTTGGCGTGCACGTAAACGAGCCCCTTACCATCGGAATTCAATTGCTGATGGTCTAAATTTTCCACTTAGCCATTAGCCCAGTAGATGCTGAAAATTTGGACGTTACAGCCATTCATTCATTTTTCTGACGCCTTGGTGCTTTAATATATATTTTTTGAATTGCAGGTTGTGAATACGGTGATAAACATTCAGACTGTTCTAAGGTTGATTTTCCTATGGGTTGTTACAAGAATCAACTTCTTTGCTGTGGATCTTGCAGACCCCTCAAACGGCCTGATCGTCGTGGTAAGCGATATACAATATTCTGATGCATTATATAAAACAGTCCATTTTCGATGTTACATACCAACAGACTGACTAAGAAAATATTTAAAGTAGGGCTCGTCTCTCGCTTCGCTACCGTTAGATACCCGTAGTAATAAGTGGTCTGGTTTTCGCTCTAAGATAGCGCCGTTGTCCCGGCAAAATTCCCCCACAGCACACTGCATGACGTATGCCCGTCTTCATTATCCCAGTCGGTGCAGAAAAGTAGGACGTTAAACGACATTTCAGTTGTCTTCATTAGCCTAGTCGATGCAGACAAGTAGGACGTTAAACGCCATTTCAGTTGTCTTCATTAGCCAAGTCGGTACTGAAATGTCGGACGTTAAACTATAAGACGTCCTGTCGGAATTCAATAACATAAAAATAGCTGTACTCAGAGGCGGATCAAGGAATTTTTGCAGGAGGGGGTTTGCCAGGTTCCTGAGAAAATGTATCCCCCCCCACCCCGGCTTGAAATTTTTTGAGAAATACACGGTATCTATCGTTATTTTGGCGTATATACATACACATTGGTCTTTTTAAACAGAGAAATCCAACATCATCCTGTTTGACGTCAATTTTTGTTATGAATTAATACGATGACATTGTGATTCAATTTTATTGATGTAAAGCATTAATTGTGATATCACATATGTCTATATCATTATCCCGCGCTTTGAGTGCCCATCCTGTCGCACCATCTGACGATAAAGGATAAAGCACAATTATGACACTTTTCTCATAAAAAAGGTTGTTTTACAAAGAATTTTATGTAGCTGAGCAGGGCGGGGGGGGGGGGGACTCCCCCGCTGGATCCGCGCCTGGTACTATATTATCAAGTAACGATGTTAGACGGAGGAATATGCCAATTTGTTTAATTGGCAGGGATTAAGGTCTCTAATCGTTATTTGGGTAACTTAATATCCCTCTCTCCCTCTCAAACTTTGAATTTCTAAAGGAATATCGGTCAAACAAACCCAGCGCCACCTTTAATTCTGTTGTTGGTCGAGAAAGTTTCCCTGGATTCACAGCGCATAGTGGCGCGTCTAGAAAGGAAAGGCCTCTGGGCATTCGGCTAGATTCCGTCTATACCATGGGAAGCATGTTAAATATAACCGACAGTTGGAAATCGAATTAAAAGTAGACAATAGTGCCAGGACAAATTATCGCACACTACACGGCAACCTGATCCATTTATATTACTGCCTAGAAGGGGATAATAATAACGAAATGAATAGACCTATAAGGGGGTAAAGGGCAACCCGTTTTTACCGTTCGGTAAATTTTTAAGAACTCCATCATGGGGACATATTCGCCGACACGGGGCTATTTTATTCTTATTTGTTCAACATGTTTTGTTTTATTCTAGGATGTGAATTTGGTGATAAAAGTTTGTGGTGTAAAAATCGTCTGCGACCGGCTCAAGACTGCCCATTAAACAGGGATCTGTGTTGTGGAACTTGTCAATATAATGATGCCAAAAACGGTTAAGGTAAGCAGAACATCCTGTAATCAAATGGTTTAATTTAAAGATAGCCGAATTCGGTTATTTCACTCCAATTGTAAAATATACCTGAATAAGCCTAAAAAGTTGTATGACATCACATCTAATGTTCAGGATTAATTATATATTTTTATTTTTTCCAGGGTGTTTTATCATCTTCGCTGATTAATGAAGATGGCGAGATAATTATTTATTTGTACAGTTTTATATGTTACAATAAAAATGGCTAAAATGGTGTCGTGTTATCGTTATGTATTAATCGATAAGGGAGTTGTTTCCACCCAAATACAATACTATAGAATCATTACATATTGTTTATGCAAACTGCATTTACTGTTATAATAGCGCTGTATGTTTGTCTCCTATCAGTACGGAACGTTATCGCTATATAGTGTTTAACTTCTATCAGTACAAAACGTTATCGCTGTATAGTGTTTGTCTCCAGGGACCTATCAGTACGGAACGTTATCGCTGTTTAGGGTTGTCTCTTATCAGTACGGAACGTTATCGCAGTATAGTGTTTGTCTTCTATCAGTACAAAACGTTATCGCTGTATAGGGTTGTCTCTTATCAGTACGGAACGTTATCGCTGTATAGTGTTTGTCGTCTATCAGTACAAAACGTTATCGCTGTATAGGGTTGTCTCTTATCAGTACAAAAAGTTCTCGTTGTATAGTGTTTGTCTTCTATCAGTGCAGAACGTTAGTACACAGTAGATATCGCTTGTTTGATAACTTTCATATCTACTGAGCAACATCTCGTTCTTTTTTTTTACATTATCGACTTGTGTTGATATTTTTTGTATCAAAAACAACTCGTAGGAGATTCTTTATTTCCCTCGGCCAGTACAGAACTTTACTATAGGCGTTAACTAGAGCAAACTATTCTAGTGAAAAGCAGTTGGGGGGGGGGGTCAGAGAAAAAACACAAACTCATACGTAATTAGTTGAAGGGGAGGGGGAGGGGGGGGTCAAACACTGAACGATGTCCTAAACAACCAGAGAGATATGGGATGGAGTGTCAGAAGGGTAGGGATTAGCGGTAGTAAGTCAGGTTGAGTAATTGATATGTACTTGATGTTGATTCTTGTGTTCCAGTATATCCAGGATAGTGGGTAAATGGAATATTTTATTCTGCTCTGTGAAAGTAAATTTGTAAAATTAAAGGTGTGAATGGTGATTTGTGGTTTGTATCTGGACCTGATAATAATATTCAATTTTATAAGATACAATGAATAAAGACATTTACATACAGGGGGCGGATGCTCCTTGATCAAATTCTGGTTGGGGTTAAGAAAAACACAAGATATTTATGATTTTATACAAATTTAATATTTATGTTAGGATTGTGTAACAAGATAAGATTCATCTTGTATATCTTGAGGTAAATCTAATAAATCATAAACTTTATAAAATATATCTTTATCATGTAGACATCCAGTTTTATCTACATCATTAAACACTGACGTTAAGTTAACTATTAAATCTTCTATTTCATCTTTTGTTCTTAAAGCTGTTTTATTTCTTGTCATTCGAACTGCTTCTGCCTAGAAACAAAAATTATTGGTTGTAACACAGATGTTGTTGATTCAATTATAGTTTTAGTTGCACAAGAGTTATTCCTCTTTCTTCTACCCATGAAAAGGAAATGGAACCCAATTTCAAATGAAATGGACATCCAGGTCATTTTGGTACTGAGAATGTTTTAATTCTACATGTAAATTAATTTTTTTCTCCAAAACATGCTAGATCAAACCAAATACAATTTCTATTTAAAATTTGAAAGCTCCACAGCTTGCAATAATATGGAGAGTACATGTTTTCCATAAAGATTGTGTTCTGTTATTGTGTTCCCCAATCACTAAATGCCACTTAAAGATTACATAAAATTCCCCAGCTATATATTATTTAGCATAAAAACAAGAGAAAAATTCTTATATTCAGCCCCTGTCTGTTGAATCACCTCATTCAGTGATTTTCAAAGTTACATGGTCACAATACTGTTAATCTTGAAGTATACTGTGAAGTAATGTGGTTTATGACCATGGACACTACACTATATAAGCATTTACAATCAATGTTATGATGGGTTACTTTCATAAGCATATTGAATATAATTGACCCAAGAACGGATACAACGGACATCCAACCAAAAATGTTGTTCTTACCTTAAGATAATTAATAACTTTAAGTGGTCTGGATTGAGGTAATGTAAGTTGTTGTATATTATTAGTAGTAGATAATACCGTTAATATCTCACATAAATCTCTAACACTATAGGTAGGTATATAATTAGCTATTTCTATTAATTCACAGCTAAATTCTTCACTCTCTTTATCTACAAACACAAATAAATACAGCTTCATAATGTATTAGACAAGAGCCCAAGGAAACAGATGGAATATAGTACATAAATACCATACATATGTACAATATGTGAATCCCTTTACAATAATATAACAGATAAATTTTTAGCCTAAAGGTCAAGTTGAATACAAAACATAAACTTGACACATGGAAACATCAAAGCATCTGCTTTAACCTAGCAGCAAGTGGTCTCAGGAACCGTAAGCGTATCCTGCCTTGTACATGACACATTTTATAGCCATCAGAAATAACCTGGCTTAACCCTTTAACCCTTACATTACTGTAGTATACAAAAACTGTTACCTCGCTTCCTGTATAAGTTTTATTACAGATGAAATGATTCCATTTATATGTAATAAATATACTTATCAATTGGTACAAAACTTAATGGGCGTCACTGGGCAATTGAATAAAAGAGGATATATTTGACAGATATAGTGGATAAAATATGACATGTGAAAGATGTTTTACTTACTTGTATAACACTTGAGTTTAAAACCATTATTTACTATATGTTTATTAGAAATAGTAATATACTGATCATGAGATGTTTCTTCTGATGCCAGATTTTTCAGAAGTTTCCAGGAATTATCACCACCAACTAATCTAAAAAGTAATGGGATATTTTTTCCTCTATTTTCTTAATACAAAGGTTAATGTTACCACTGTTACTTATGTCATCTTGAGACTTTAATACATATAAATAATGAGCAATATTTACTGTGGTTATTTGTACTGTAGGCTTTCATTAAAAAAAAACCCAACAAAAATGTTCACAGCAATGAAGTGGGTATTTATTCATCAAGACTCTGAAGAATTAAAAGTTATTTTGCTTTTACCTAATCATGAATTGTAAAACTAAAATGAGCATGGCACAATATTTCTGCTTTAAAAAAACCAGTCAAGTTTACCTTGAATCTAAACGTAAAGGATTTTCCAATGGTTGTGTTGAACAACAATAATCTTTCATGAGACGCTGATGTATGATCACTTCTGTCATTCTGTGTGGATTGCCTAGAAACAGTTTATAACCATGGCAACAAGCCCACATACCATTTGATTTTAAGCAGCCAATCACCTTCCAGTTAACATCTGGCTGACTTTGACTGAATCAATAACCATGGGTGAACAAAATTAAAGACAAAATTTAAATAAAATTTAAGTATAAAAATAGGTTGCCAGGCCATAACTCTAGGCGTTATTAACAAAAATTATTGAAATTTAGGCTTTTTTGTTTTACTAATTTAAATAATGCATACAAATTTCATAAAAAAGCGGCTGATAAATTTTGTTGTTAAGTAGAGTGTCCCAAGGTTATATAAAAAGAAACAAGGGTGATAACTCTAGAAGTAATTAACAGAAGTTGTTGAAATTAGATATGCTTCTTCGTTTTACTAAGAAAATAATGCATATAAATTTGATACAGATCACTTTAATTATTCGAGTGGTTACATGTAAAAGGGAAACAAGAGTGACTACTCTAGATGCAATTTACGGAAACTGTACAAATAGGTTTGCATTACCCACTCTTCACAATATAACTCATTCAAAAAGAAATCTTCAAGATATCTGATATTTGTGAATTATATCCACCATAACACCCTGCTGTATATTGAGACTTAGTGCCATTCCTTTTTGAGGATATTACTGTGAGATGTATTGATTATTATGTCCCTGTATTGTTTATAAGATAACTAGAAAATACTAATAAATCAGGTCTATCTATACAAACCTATGTAAAAATCCAGTTTTATATTTGTTACGTAGTTTAGATAAAGAGAAGGGTATATCCTTCACAGGTAAACCAGGTCTATATTTCTTGGGTTTTTTCATGGTTGATAGAAGACGTTCACTGATAGGAGTAACCTGTAGATAAATTGAAACAACTGGAACTATGGCTACATATTTCAAATAGCAGAATGTTACAATACATGTAACTATGGAATATATCTTCAAAAGAATGTTTTAAAGGCAATCAAACTAAAAGTTCTATGCCTGGTGTCACACCACGGGGCATCCACCATTTCCTCTATTGCGCATGCATTGTTTACATAAGACGTTGTTGCATTAACTGGTTTAGGCAGAATGGTGCCTTTTACTCACTTTATATACCAATTTACAATAAATAGAAGATATTTTGATCTACATACACTTCAAACACCTTTATTTATTTTTCTAATACTTCAAAAAAATGTTTGGAATTTAATTTGCAGATGGATAAAAGTTAATATTGCAAGTACATTAAGCTGCACCGATGTCATCCCTCTCAGTGATTGTAGCTGTCTAGATTCACCGCTGATCAGTGAATCTTTATCTTTATATTTTTTCTTCCTTTAGAAAAATAATGTCATTTTTAATGATATCAATAAACCATGACACACAGCATCAAAAGATTATCATCAAGAGAACTTCATTTACTGATGTTTCTTACCTCTGATTTCCTCTTACCAACAACAGTAAAGGGCTTGGGTTTATTCCCAGATGCTTTGTGGATATATTTACGTCGTTCTTCTGATGGTAAATTATCCCATAAATCCTGGATAATCTGTGTGACATCATCAAACAATGCATCAGGATTATCTTGTACCACTGGATTAAAGCAAATAAAACAAATGATTAAAGTACTCAAAATAAATACATCTTACAACAAATCATTCATTTTATGGTTATTAAACTGAGAGGGTGGGTAGAGGGGATGACAAACAAGGGAGGAAACTATATATACTATTCAAAAAAAGTAGGGGATATTTGATTTTTAAGTGTTATTAAAGTCACCTAATGAAACTGACGAAGAAACAAATGACAAAATGAAATGAAGTTCACATTCATCGATTTATTCCAAATGATCGTTAGACTAAGTAAGGCACAGACTGACCATTATAAGGGTAAAATGATACCAGGGGTCAAACAGCAAAGTTACCACAGCATCACAACCAAGTCAGTAACGGGTAAATCCTCCTCTGTTTGCCAAACAAGCATTGATCCGACGTGGCATACTCCTAATGAGACGTCTAAGGTCATTTTGGTCCAGATTGTCCCATTCCTGTTGCAACGCAGCAGCAAGTTCTTGGACATTGGCAGGACGTTGTTGACGTTGACGTAACCTCTGTCCAAGCATGTCCCAGACATGCTCGATAGGGGAGAGGTCGGGACTCAGTGCTGGCCAAGGTAATGTGGTGATGTTCTGTTGTTGGAGGTAACCTGTAACGATCCTGGCCCTGTGACATCTTGCGTTGTCATCCTGGAAGATGAAACGGCGGCCATGACGTCGTGCGAACGGCACAACATGGACTGCCAAGATGTTGTCCCGGTAGTACTGGCCTGTAACACGCCCTGCAACAACATGTAAAGCCGTTCTTCCAGCAACAGTGATGCCTCCCCACACCATAACAGAACCGCCCCCAAATCGATCATGTCTGATGACGTTAACGTCTTGGAAGCGCTCGTTTCGACGACGCCACACCCTCCTACGTCTGTCCAAAAAATCAACAGTGAACCTTGACTCATCTGAAAACATCACATTGCTCCAGCGTCGATTATCCCAGTGTTGACGATCCCTACACCAACGACGTCTTGCCTGAATGTGATGATCTCTCAAACAAGGGATCACGCGAGGACGTCGGGCGCGAAGGTGACCCCTATGCAGTCGATTCCGAATCGTCTGGCCACTCACTCTCACACCAGTGTCTGTTTGAAGACCAGCGCTGATCTGATTTGCTGTGATGACACGATTTCTCAAGGCCAAGGTACGGATAAATCGATCCTGGGCTTGAGTTGTCGCCCTTGGTCGACCTGAGCGTGGTCTGTCCTGTACAGATTGTGTATCACGGTATCTGGACCATAGCCTGCTTATGACAGACTGAGAAACATTCATCGTCCGCGCCACAACCGCCTGTGTTGTGCCGATCTGTAGCATGCCAAGGGCACGTAACCTTTCATTTTGGGTAAGCCGACGCATATCAAAATTTGTTTTCTGGTCACTAAAACAATTAAACTGATGTTTCCACCCTGGAATTCAATGCCACAATGACTGTAACATTCAAAGTCAGAGTCGTGCAAATCTTGGGTTGGACCCCCATGATGATCCCAAGCATCACCTGCATTCCATGCGGTAGCTATTGGTGCGTTTGGGCGTCACATGTAACTGGAAATGTTTCTTCGTAGTCATTTGCATATTTTAGTATTATGCCCCCAAAATCAAATATCCCCTACTTTTTTTGAATAGTATATAATGAAAGTACTACTCTGATTGATTATCACATGACCTAGGATTTCAATCTGATTAAAATACAGATCTATATTTCGTTTCGTTTTTTTATACTTTCGATGGCCTACACTACATGAAGATCTGACAAGTTATAGCGATAGGTCACGTCAGGGGTCAAAAGACCGACATATGACCTATGACGTCAGACATTTGATTAACCAATCAGCATTGATGTTACTAGTGGATTACCCACAGTTCCAGGCAAAAAAGGTCAAACACTCGATTCGACAGACCATTTGATTGGCTGACCCCTCATTTGAAGCAGAACACGAGTTAAATAACAAGTCTTCCAGATCCAAGTGTAGTAAGGACAAGTAAAACGAAATTTTGAACTATAAAAACGAAACAAAATTGGATCTCTGTTTTAATCAGATTGCTAGGATTTGGACAAAGATTTTTAAGTTGGCGGGTTGACAAGATTCTATGACAGAACCAAGGCAGTAACTCTATTAGTAATTATCATAAATTGAAAAACTTGCAAAAATCGAAAGCAAAAACATACTCAATAAATAAATAAATCATCAAAATCGATTGGCTGCCTTGTACCACTATCTTAACCATGCATATAAATTTCTAGAGTATTCACATGTTTCCAGGGGAATACTTGAATGAACGTTCCGGAATTAAATTCTCTCAATTCCGAAAATAGTGGCAATCTAGTGAAAAGGAGAATTTCGGAGTACAACGCATGCATGTGCCAACTGCATGAAAAATATCTCAACCAATCATAGCAGTTGAAACATATTTGTTACTTAAAATACGTCACGATTCTACTCACACCACATCAGCTGTTGTGACTGGCAGAACTGTGATAGGAATGAATTCCGTATCACTTGATTGCAATTCTGTCAATTCGGCGGGACGTTCCGGACTGACTATCGAGCACCCCCTAGAACATCAACAAAGGGAAATAGCTCTAGAAGTACTTAATGGAAATATTTGAAGTTTGATAGGGTTCTGTGTCTCACTAATAATGCATTAACAGATAGGGTGATAAAACATTTACAAAATTCTAGAAAAGTCTTATCAAAGGGAACAACTCTGAAAGCTATAATTAGAACTTACTGAAATTCAATACGAATCATTGCTGCCCTGATGTAAACAACATATAGCATTCGATTATCAATGTAATCTGTTGAGTGTTTACAATAAATTCCAGACGACTGATGGACAGGCAGGAGTGACGATAATATTTGACAACATTTCAATGTGGGCGCATAAAAAACAATACCATTTACCTTGAGATCTGACATCTTTCATGTACAGATCAAAGGATGTTTGAGGTCTTTTCATTGGCTGGTTTTCTATGATGTCATACATTGTTGTTTGGCCAATGGCAATATTCTGTAAATGAAATGATAAACCATGACATTGATTTTGTAAATGATAATATTCTCTAAATGATAGTAGTTTATAAAATATAGTATTCAGTGTTTTTAACTTATAAGAAGCAGCAAATTGTATTTCAAATTCTGTTCTTAAGAAATGAAATGCAATGGGGTTTTACGTCCTACTGTTATGCACCGACTGGGCTAATGAAGACGGGTATACGCCATACATTGTGCTATGAGGGCCTACTCTTATATCGAATTCCAACAAACAACTATACATTGTTCCCTGCCAGGCCCTTCATCATGCGCCACTGACAAAGGTAAACCACGTTGGAAAATCCTGATGAACTTTCTCGTCCAACGCAGGGATTGAACCACGGCACCTCATAATGTCATAATATAGGTTAAATACCATCTACAATCAAAAGTACTTTTATTAAAGACATTCTACTTCAAACATTATTCAAATTGATAAATTTTAACATAATTATGGCCATTTAATTTCTAAGATGGTTTGTGTAGATTTCACACATCATTCTTATGAGTCTTATAGCCACATAATAATTCAGCTGTCTTTTTCGTAGTACTGTAGTCCTGTAGCACTAGTCCAGCCCAAAGTTGTTTTTATATTTCAACTTATATTTAAGTAGTATGTTCTTTTAACTTGTAAGACATATTGTGAACAATCTTGCTTAATCTGCCTTTAATTTCTAAGATGGTTTGTGTAGATTTCACACATCATTCTTATGAGTCTTATAGCCACATAATAATTCAGCTGTCTTTTTCGTAGTACTGTAGTCCTGTAGCACTAGTCCAGCCCAAAGTTGTTTTTATATTTCAACTTATATTTAAGTAGTATGTTCTTTTAACTTGTAAGACATATTGTGAACAATCTTGCTTAATCTGCCTTTAATATTTCTTATTATAATAATATCTTAATTACAAAATAGTGCCAAAATTGCTTAATCTATTAAAAGAATAAAAGAACTTACCCGATTCATGACAGGTCTAGGTTTTTTCTCTGGTGGTGCTGTATTTTGGGATGGTGATAAAGGTCGTTTACCAGGGGTATGATTTGACCCTGGAGGAAGGAGAGTCACAGGCTAAAAAAACAAGTAGCATCACATTAATGATTAGAAATTTCAACCTTTTGAGATTTCCTCTTTGTCTCCCAATATGGTAACTACAGACAACAAAGCAAAACACTAATAAAACAACCAGCAGCAAAGTCATCCCTGATAGCCCCAAGATGAATTTCAACAAGCTTTATAAAAAAAATCGCCGAAAGTCAATAAGTAACATGTAACTCCAAACTTTATTATTCTAATATTTACAGGTCTTCTTAATTCTGAATAATCTCTGAGAATTTGAAAACATCTATTAAAAACTCTGATGTGGATGGAATACAATATACATAATCTTCAATGTAGGTGTACAAAGTTTATTACAAGGACAAAACAGACCAGAAAGGAATTAGAATTATCAAATTAATCCTGGGATGAAATCTCTAAGACCTATAGAAAGATTTTGGTACCTGAATTATTTTTCCAGTAACACTGCAACCTCTACCTTTTATCCATTTATCATCATCTATATCTTCTACTCTTGTTGATGTTTGTTGACCAGGTGTCTGATGATTAGTGTTTGTTGGTGGCTGTTGACCAGGGTTGGATGCCATCTGCAGACCAGGTTTTGTTGCAATCTGTTGTCCACGATTTGTTGGTGTCTGAGTTGGTAAAATTTCGTCCAATAAATCATCAGTTATATCAAACATGCCCACTACAAGTGATGGTTCGGTAATGTCCAGAGCACAATCATCTGTACTCATTGATGTTTTGATTTGTTTGTTTGTTAAAACATCAAGATCTACAGGGCTAATGTCATTCGAGATTGTGTTCTCTTGTTTATTAATATCACTCAATGAGTCTAGATCTGAATAATTCTCTATGTTTTCCGTACCCAGTAAACTATTTTCTGGACCATTATCAGCTACATTCTTATTATTTAACCTTGTAAAGTTGCTTTTATTTATATCACATGTTGAAGTAATTTTAAGTTCTTCTGCATCTTCAAAAGTATCATCAAAGTCAAGAGAAGTGATTAAATCCTGACATGTTTCAGTGGTGGAGATACCTGGTTCATCATTATTATCAGCTATACAATAAATAAAATATTTCAAATAAAAGCATAGTTCTAATAAAATTATTTAACAGCATGCTAGTACTTTGGTTATTTAATACAAAATAAGCATTGAAAGAGTAAACAGCAAATATTAAACTTCAGATCATACACATTAGAAAGTAGACTAGCAAAATACCATGTTGGTCCTTAATTAAATGAAATGAAATGGGGTTTAACGTTGTATTGTTCTGCACCGAACTGGGCTAATGAAGACAGGCATACACTATACAGTGTGCTATGAGGTAAATTTTGCCCGAACAGCGGCACTACGACCTAGTCATGTTTCGAATTCCAACTGTCAAGGCATCTTTTATGTGCATGCCAATGTGTACACAGGACCTCGGTTTTTCACCCCATCCGAACGACTAGACAGCTGTCCTTGTCAGGGATGGTCCTAAAATGATTAAATTCAATCAATCGTAACACAGGCTATGGCCATCATCAAACAATAAAGCCATATAGGTCTTCTGTATCCTTGGGAAGAGGATTTAACTCAAGCAACGGATAGTCACATCTCTCTCTGGCTTATAAAATACATCAAAGAACATGTGGTTTATTTAAAAATCATTCCAGACCCTATTGCCTTGAAGACTAATAAAAAACAACAAAATGAAATAGAATTTCAGTTTAATCATTTTAATCAAATCGCTTACTTGTATTTATAGAAACCTCCAGATCTAAATGTTTATTTACATCAAGATTTGATTGGTCTATCATTTTATCTGCCTGCCTTTCAAACTGAATAAGATTATCTTGAGCTTCTTTATTTCGTTCTTCTACAACCATATCCGGGGCTTTCTGTTCATTTTGTCTTTTCCAATATGGCTGGTCATCTAAAGGGCCATACATGTACTCTAACATTTTTTCAGTCAATTTTTTGCAGACATCCTGAAAAATACAAAGAAAGCAAATATGAATTCTTAATTTATTGACCCGATAGAGGTAAATTCTGATTTTTTCAAGCCAAAGGTAAAAGAAGTGAGATTTAATGATTATATACATTTGATATCTATTTCCAAGAGACAGAAATTAGTTTTTATATGCATGCTATTTAACTAGGATGAAAATGTGATATATTTCATCACTTCACTGGTATACAGGGATCTTTGTCATTGGCGGGAACTGAACAACCTAAATAAAACTAACAAAAGCTGATATCTAACTGGTCAACATCTTCACAGTCAAAAAGAACGGTTTTGTTAGTCAGCCAGCAGTCGATTATGTTATTTTAACTGCCATACTCACCATATCTTGTATATAGACTTTCGATTTATTAGGATCTAGATTAACATCTAATTTATCTGCTGGTAGGTTTATACTTATATAATATACAGGATATCTGTTGGTATCACATGCATGACAATTACTGTAATACTGTTTGACCAACTGTAATAAATAGATATAATATAATAGAGATGGGACATAGGATAACTACTAGTATCACACACATGACATGACAATTACTGTAATAATATTTGACCAACTGTAATAAATAGATATAATATAACAGATATTGGACATAGGATAGCTACTGGTATCACACATGACATGACAATTACTGTAATACTATTTGACTAGTTGTAATAAATAGATATAATATATAATGATGATAAATCTCATTTGAGAGCTACACATTAATCTTGCAATCCTAAACTAACAACATCAGACCACAAGATTTATCAGGATTGAGTACTTACTAACTGAGCCCATTGTACACATCTGAATTTAACTACCAACATTTTAATATGGCCTAAATTGTATTATTCCATATAATTGTGTCATGTATTGTTAATAAATGCTGTTTAAACTATTTATCTGACAGTACCTTGTCTATTTCTGGTATTGTAACATATCTATTATTAACAGATACTATACTTCTATCATTACTAGATCTACTGCAAATCATTATATCACTTCCAGGTTTAGGTAAATAACCACTTATTTTTACCTGAAGAAAAGAATAACAAAAGTTTAAAATCATGCAACCGAAGATTTGTTGAATTTCATACCATAATAATTGTGACATTTTATATCTACTACAAATTAAAGATGGTTAAAAAGAGTTGACTATAGTGTTATATCCAAATTTAGGTCTGTGATTGAACAACAACAAATTTAGGTTGTCTACCCTGTAAAATATATAAAATCAGTTTTTAAGATCACATTAAGCACATCTCTAAATCCCTCCCAAACTGACAGATATAGTTTGATAAGATGATTATAAGTGGTCCTGTATAACTATTTATCTCCAGATACCATTGTCTAAAAAAGTTATACTTCTAGGGTCAGCTAGAAAGAGAGTCTAATTTAAATAATACTAACATTATTTTTCATTTTATTTTCGATTGTTCACTCCCCTACGAGCATAGTCTCAGATTTGTTCATTTATATACAAATTGTGATTGGTTGACACTAAATTTAAAGACCAATTAACACCCTTGACAATGAAAATTCCACAAAATGCTTAGAATGAAAACCCCAAAGAACCAATAGAAGATATTACTACATTACAAACATAACTAGTGTCTTGAAAATTTGGTTGACTGTACTCCCCAGACTCAGATGGCACACCAAACTTGATGTTTCCTCCACCTTAGCCAGACCCATTTCTGTTCAAATTCCTGGACACACCCCTGCACTTGTTGGTTCCTCATGGGAGGTCAGTTTTATATATACCTGTGTATCAGAATCAGATTCCTCTTTTAGATCCAGCAATGAAGACACTGAATGACCTAAAATATTCAAGATGGCTGACTTTGTGTCTGGTAAAGATGTCTTCTGAACAATCATTTCCTTGTTATGTCGTAAAGTTATTCTAATTTCTGGTTTAATGATGCTGTAGGCTTTTAATAAATCTTCAATTTTCTTTAATTCTGTTTTTTTCTTTTTTACAGTGTTGTGATACTGTTTTCTCACTGGTAGATTTTTGAATAAATTCATAACACCAATAGTTGTACCTTTAAATAATATAGTGCATTTTTTTCAGAGAGTATTCTTTAAATATGATCAAACTGAGACCCATTACACAAAGCATATCTTTGGCTTACGTACACATATTGAACATTTGTGACTAGCTCAGCTCAAGCTAAATGAGACACAAGGGTAAAAAAATCAAAAGACATCAATTTAAAATCTGTATTCATTAACTTCAAAATTGATATATGACATGCATTGATCATAGAAAATGGTTGAGATATTAAGCTTTCAAGTTAGTATCACATCACAATAGTCATTTTTAGGAAAATAACTGACAATTATGAAAACAAACAAAGCAAGCCTCTATAGCAACACAAACAACAATTTATGTGAATTTCAGGTAAGTTTTCGCCTTTGCATGTTGGGAAAATAAGAAAGTTTATTTTGAAAACAAATATGATGGAAATGTAATAATTTATATGTACATGTACATGGAGAGGTGATGAGTTTATATACCTTGGCCTAAATGTGACGGTTTACTGTTCTTGACCTTGCCTTCGTTTGTTAAACTATAACAAATACTAATATCATCTTCTTTAGTTTTAGTCGTCACAGTGACTTCTGCTACAGAACACAGTGATGCTAAAATAAAATACCAGTACATCGATGTATATAAGTATGAAATTATGAATAGGGGATAGCAGAGCTCAAGCAAATATTCGAACATTCAAATGGAATATTTTCCCCGAACAGAAACTGAAAAGCTTCTGACTGGATCGGATTAGATTGGGACTGTACAGCGCAGTGGACGCTTACGGCCAGCCCTTGGATCCATAAACTTTTTTTGAATTGTCTGTCTGTTTGTGTTTGTGCACTTACAATTTTAAATATGATTGCATCATAATCTGAACTGAAATAGATGACCATCAAAGTACATCATCCCATCAAGAGCTGTTTCTAATTATTGTTCATCCAAATGCAATTACATTCCATTAATTATATAATATACACATGTTTAATTATACTAAACATTTGGCTGTTTAATTATTTGAAGGATTTCGCTGTTTAATTATTTGAAGGATTTCGCTGTTTAATTACAAAATGCGGGAATAAATCATTTTCATAATAATATTACCTAATGCTTCTCCTCTAAAGCCATATGTGTTCAAATTCTGTAGATCTGAATGTGTTGTTATTTTTGATGTGTAATGTCTTTGACCAACAAATGGTACATCATGAACGTTGATACCAAGTCCATTATCTTTAACCTCTATTTTATCTAAACCATAATTATCCTGCAACACATATAACCATTTAAAAAGATTTAAATGCATGTAAAGTACCCTACACAATATGTCAGATTTTAGGGGCTATTATATATATATATAGCACTGTATTAGCAGTGAGGAGATTGGTAGTTTGGCACTGTACTTGCCTTGATCCTGCTATTTTTTCATAAAAGATTTTTTTTATCAATGTATTTAGAAAATAGGAATGCCTGTAGACTTGATGGACCGGATGGAGCTTATGTGTTAGTTTCGCCCCACTTGCCCCACAATGATAGATGAATACATCTCTCGCGAGTGGCAAATCAACTGCGGTCTGATCCCACTGTAAACAAAACCATTTTTTCGGTTATTAATTACTTCCTTGAAAACCTACCAACTTGACATCCACAACAGTTGCTTCAGCATCAAATGAATTCTCTATAAGTTCTTTTACAACGCTGTATACGGATGTTATTACTTGCGTACTGCCAATTAAACGAATTGTAGAAGCTGGTAAAGCAGTCAAATTAGATTTTCCCTCCATCTTGAATACGGTCGCGGTTAGCAGGACAGATTGTATAATGTACACCAACGTTTAAAGCTACCGCGAAAGTATCATGCCCTTATTCAGAGTTCTTTCCCTTGTATTGAAATATCATATAATGTCAAATTTCAACATCTTACTGATTGTCACTAAACACCGTCTGCAAATTAAAAGGAATAATATTAAAAAAAATAAATAAGTAAAAAACTAAAAAGCCCAAAAGAATAACATCAAGCAGATACCAAAAGAATCCTCTATATTATTTATTACTATTTTATATTCTTTCGATACAAAGCTAAATTGTAACAATGAATGATTGCAAGATTCTCGTATTTAATGATCGCCACCATCAAATTGAATGTCCCATCCTTATTCACAGTTATTTCCCTTGTATTGAAATACCGCATGAAATTGTCACTAGATTTTTATGTTTAAAAAAAAGGAAAATATAAACTATGTCAAAATGAAAGTTTGTCTATTTTATTTATCATGGGTGCTAGTGTTATTATTTTAAGGACATAAACAGTAAAGTCATGGGATCTCCGCCACCAGCACCCTTCTAGCTCCGCCCACGCGAATATGCCACTGCATATAACGTATCTTTGCTTTTATACATATTCTTTTGTATTATTAATTAAATGGAATACAAGAGTGGGTGTGCGTAAATATTAAGTTCTTTGTTTGAAAAATGAATCACAACTTAATTAAAAGTAAGAGTGTAAATACAAAATACATTCATAGATTTTTAAATCTGTATTTTTAATGGATTGACCGACATATATCGACACCAAAGAGATTATTTTATATAACAAAAGTGAGATACAGCTAACAATGGAACTTTCAGATTTTAATTGAAATCGTTATAAATAGACTGATATTTTAAATTAATAAGAGTAAGATCTAAAAATAACCTGCTATAGATATAATTTTATTTTTTATAAACAATATTCTTATTCAGTAAATATCTGGCTATTCCTATGTATAACCCCTCTCTCTAATTTGTTTTTTTTTTTAAAAAAAAACAAAACAATATACATGTATACGTATAGGTCTATCAATGTGCGCCCATTACTAGATTACTAGAAATGAACTGAAATGGGGGGAATTTTCCCACATACATCAGCGCAATGGCCTACTCTTATTTCGAGCTCCAACAGTCAGGGCTTCTTTTACGTGTTCGACAATTTTTTGTGTGCCATCCGAACGACTAGACACTGTTCCTTGTAAGGCCCCGCGTACTGCACCGCTGGCAATTGATCCCGGGAGCATACGTTAGCCAGATCCTAACTCACTCAGCCACCGCGGGTCCACCTAAATAGCGAGCTAGCGCCTTACTCACTGAGCACACCCACTACGTCTTACCATTGTGGAAATCTATGTTGCTGTTGATTATAATATACTTCTTGTTATCCTGTCCTTCAATAAAGGAGAGTCGGACTGTTTAGTAGTTTACATGGCTGATAAATACTGTATTGTTGTACTTAATTCTAGATAAACCCCCAATGAATTGCCTGAATTTTGGAGGATGTGACCCGTGCTATTTATTAAATAAAACATGTCGAAGTGTTGCAATTACGGGGTTTCACTGGGATTTTAAATTGCCGACCGATATGTTTGGACGTCATGGGGTCAAAGATGTAAAAATAAATCATATTTATTATTAAATTGGTCTATTATTGACCGATTCCCTGAGGCAGGAGATTAACGAGATAAAAACCCATTGAGCCCTTCAGTTTTATTGCCCTTTTCCGCTTTCTCGTCAGTCATTGTAGTCTGGATTAACCCGAATATCAAATATCTCCACTGGACAATTATTAAGGCCATAAACCAGAACAACAGGACTTATAGTTCGTGTATTTCAGAAGTTTACCGACTTATAATTGGATCATGTTTGGGTTTAAACTGGGAAGATTTTCTTATGATTATTTCGTCGTGGGAATGGTCAGTTGTTGAGGTTTAATGGCTCAAGGAGTGACCTCTTGGATTTTAAAGGATGGTCAATTTTTTTGGTGTGGTCAGCTTTGTTGCTTGTCGATAAGGCTTTATAAGAGCATCTGCTACACTGCGAGAAACAAAATTTTAAATTATCCATTACCCAAAACTTAAGGAGTTATTAAAGCGATTTGATTCAAGACACAATAAAGTTTTCAGTGGTGTTGATTTGATGTATTATCTCGAATGCGATTTAATTTTCATTTGTTTACATAGGGAGTATGGCTCTAATTCTTGGAACCTTGAAATAGACAAAAATGGTTATAAAAGAACATATTAATGTAATATGAATGTATGTAAAGTGATTCATATTCAATTTTTGAAAAATATATTGTAATTTCTAATCAATTATTTTCGATGAAATACGTGAACAGTTCAATTTGAACGGCACTCGTTTACGCCTTCTTATTGCATTCTACACGTTTTTTAAATTATTATTTTTTCGTTTGTGAATCAGCCTTTATTAATTATTTCTACATTGTGTTGTAGGATATGTTTTTATTTGTTCATTATATAATGGCACCAGAAACCATAAAATGTTAATTGTGTCTTAAATATTGGATATTAGGATCCTATACTTTCATGACAAGATAACAACATCAAAATTGATTGAAATTGATCAATATCGAATTCTAATTCATGTTTTTAATAGCGAATATAATGGAAAATATTGAGTTGGAGACTTAGCTCCTTTAATATTGGATCTATCTGTAGACTGAGTTTGATACTAACACACGGTTGTTTATAATTACTATAAAAAAGTTATCAATGCAACCAGGAAGGTTTTACCCCAGCAGCGGAATTTAGAATTTCTCTTCTTCGAATTTTCACTGTCAAATTGTGTAAGATTACGGTACCGGTAATCTGTTTATGCGTGAAAAAAATACAACGAATTGGCACACTTTGTTTATAAGCGCTACATGAGGTCTGGCAGTCTTCGATGGTTGGTGTAGATAATTAAAATATTAAATCCAATTTCATGACCACGAAATGTAAAATGTGCATGCGATTAGGCAGAATTCGCTTGTCGGCGCTACTGTCTGGGCAACATAACGCTCATAGAGTTAGATCTATTGGATAAGGCCAACTTCAAGTTTGGTCAAAGGTCACCAGATGTAAACAGGGCTAGCGCTAATCCCAACCCTAACCCTAAAACTTAACCAAGCTCTAGTGTTTACCATAACCGTATACAATTTCGCCAACAATCAGATGCCCTAACCGTATTTACATCTCAGCGACTATGACGAAAATTGAGCTGGCCTTAACAAATAGATTTAGCCCGCTCATAGAACATGCACTACATGATGTATGCTCGTTTTCTTTAACCCGATTGTTGCACTAAATTAAGACGTTAAACCCCATTTCATGTGAATGCTACTTTAAAATAACAATAAGTTGTAGGAGGGAAAACTTACCGATTTCCAACACTCAGTACTTCCTATAACAAGACAACTGTCAAATTGTCATGTTCTATCGTAATTACATATTGTTAGATAATATCCTATATACATGTAATTTTAACGATTAATTGATAATCGATTAATACCAACTCGGTATGCTATATGAATGATTATTGATATTGCAGCCATGGCATCCGGTTTTGAAATCTTGAAATCAATCGCTGTAAAATGATACCTTTTTTCATTAAGGACAAATTTCATTCATATCCTTATCGGCATCTCTCGTAATACACCCACAGTATTTTGAAATTTTATACGTTAATATTTCAAGTGACATTTTCAAAACAGTTTAACGCCCACTCAACTCAGACTTGGTCATTTTGCCTATGGTACACTTTTATTTGAAGTAATTCGCTATAGCGCGTAGGCGTTGGGGGTAGGGGGTGCGGAGGACACCGAGAAAACCCGCAAGGCTATACAGGCAACCTTACCCATTGTCACGTACAAGAGTGGGATCACGAATTGGAATCATTCGGCAATCTAAACCCCGCATATTCTGGAGGGATTGTCGATCACTGTGTGACTCCCAACTACACAATCAAAAGACAGGCATTATCATAATATCTTGGGATGGTCAGTTTATACCCACAACAACTGACCACCGGCGATGAGCGGTAACACCTATTGTAGCGTTATGGATTACTCCTTGATCGCCATTTCATCCCAGAACGTAATTATGCAATATCTTGTTTACGAAAAGGACCGTTCAACCATGAAGTTAGTATTAATTTTACATTTTAAAATACAGGGCTCCAGCGTGAAAATTGTTCGAAGTCACCTTCTAAGCTGTACTTGCAATCTGGTAGTAATTGGAATACGCTACAACTCATGATAAATGGTCAAGCCCCTGTTTTACTTCATTGATTCATCAAGCAGCTGGTAAACACAGCTTAAGGTCAGCATAAGGTCAAGGGATGGTTTCCTGGCTGACCGATTTAAACATGAAACTTCATCATTCATCTGAAAAATTCAGGGTTTGGTTTCTGGAAAAACAGCAGGTTAATACTCACTAAGAAGGGAGAAGAATCTATTTCAAGAGCAGGCGTAATCTAAATGTTGTATAGAGTGCGTGGTTTAATGATTGTACAAAACAACCATACCCCCGGTGCACGACATACGCCACTATTTACCTAATCTTATCAACCACGAAGCAAAACCTTTATCGCGATTACGCAAACTGTCATCGTACCAAATAATGTCTAGAGGACGCAAAACAAACATACCGCTCTGCTACATTTCCGTCACCCCCGCCCCTCTCTCTCCACACACACATTTAATATCAACATTTTTCTTGTTATCAATTCGGTTTCAACATGCCTTGAATAAAATACGGCGTTGAAATGGAATGATAAATTTGTTTTTACTATTATGTCTCTAAATAACCCAAGGACATTTTCAAAGGTGAATGAGATAATATATAAATTAATCATATTATCCACCCCCTTAATGTCATATCTACTTCTTGTAAAAATAGACAGCACAAAAACTTTTTTTTAATTAATTTAATTAGTGTAGGTAGAGGTAAAAATAGACGAGTGATAGCAAAATGTCAAGACAA